CGACCGCCCGAGGAGTGGGAGATCAGGGGTTCGATACCCGGCGGGTCAAACGGAAGATTTTAAAATTGGCCCTCTGGTAACTGCCTCGTATGGCGCACCTGTGTCACTGGTCGCCCCGGTGTCAGTTATACTCCGACATCTTTATCGTTATCTAAATAGATTGTAACCCGTTGCTAAATGCAGGGCATTTCTGTTTTGCATTGATCTGACAAACGTTAATAAGCCAAGGAAAAAAATAAAGAATTAAATGAAGAAAGAAAGAGAGAAAGAAAGAAAGAGAGAAAGAAAGAAAGAAAGAAAGAACGAAAGAAAGAACGAAAGAAAGAAAGAAAGAAAAAAGGGAAGGAAGGAAGGAAGAAACAAACAAACAAACAAATAAACAAAGAAAGAAAGAAAGAAAGAAAAAAGAAGGAAACGAAGCAATAAAAAAAACGAAAAAAAGACCCCAAAACTATGGAAAAAAAATAAGAAAAGAGGTAATCCAAACAGTGAATATCAATTTGAAACATTGATTGGTGTGCTGTAAACTTAAAATTTAATCAAATATCGATTTCATGTCGAAAAAAATTGACTTTAGAAAATTGCAAAACAGGTATGAAAAAACAAATCAAAGTTTTTACGAATTTGGCATAAGAAGACAGAAACATAATATTATTAGAAGCTTTAATTTCTTTGGGTTGTTTTTATCTTGAACCAATTGGTTCATAAACTTATCGCAGAAACATTTGAAACAGGCCATATCAAGTAGACGGCAGCGTGCGCGCTGGCGTAAACAAATGGCCTGGTTAAAGTTAATAACAATGATAGACAAGATTTGTAAAGCGCAAATCCCCGCGAAACAGCAAGCTGTATACGCTTCACAATCTATACTATTACCTCAGTAGACCTGAGAGCATTCTGAAACAATTTCAACTTGCTGGGAAGCATACAGTGCAAGCGGCCAATTTATAGGCGCTAAAACACTAACATTCTTACAAGATCGTTCGCTTTCTATAACTGTGTACCCTTTGCCAACTTATTTGTTGAAGTGAGGAAAATTCGTGTAAAATGCCTTTTCCAAAGACACAACGTCGGGCCCGCGGCTCGAACCCTCGAACCTTCAACCTCACGATTGCGAGGCCACTAACAAAGTTAATAAACAAGTGTTGAAGTAAAAAAAAGACATCACAAGGGCTGAAAGGGAAACAACGTGCCACAAATAGACGAAGATGTTCAATAAAGAAAATGAAAGAGGCTAGCCGTACTTAATGACGTATAGACTGCTAGGCTAGCCGCACTTAATAATGATGGTGGCGAAACTGACAAACAGCAAAAAATAGGCCTACTGAATTGTAACTGTTAGGTTAGCCGTACTTAATAATAATGGCTGAATTGTAAATAAAATTTTAGTTTGCAATACCTAAAGTATTTTATATTTCAGACGAAACTAAAAGTGCCTTACTGACAGTGCATGTATTCTAAACCTGAATAATTACTAATGAGGCCTATGTTTCAATCAATAGGAACTAAACTAAAAACCACTAGACTAGAACTGACACCCTCTGCGTGAGACGACGAGGAGACTAATTACTACACCACTGCCGTGTGTGGCCTTGAGCATCCCCCCCCCCCCCCAAATCCCGATCAAATTCACTGCATGAACCTTCGAGATTTTTTTAATTCAAAATTATTTCTGGCTATCCCACAGCTCGAAAACCTGAATAATTGATTTTTTGTTGTTGAATGGTTAGGGAAAGGTAATTTACTAGACGTGCACTTTTGGAGACGATACGAACAGAACAGGAAGGAAGAAAAAATCTGTGCCAAGCGGAACCAAAGAAAAACGTTTTGTTTTTTGTGTGCTTTTTATTTTTTTACGCGTTCGATTTCCTGCTGCTGTTTTGTAATGATGGACGCTCAGCGGTGTTTCTTCAGTCAGAGGGTTGTTTAAAATATATCCTAAGAAAAGCTCAGTGCATTGGTGAAATGATTGTTTGGCTTTCTTCTTTTTTTGGTTCTTTTTTTCCGGAGGTGGGCATGTGTTGTACTTGTTCGATGTTTTTGCTCTTGTTGTTGTTGCTGCTGTTGTTGCTGCTGCTGTTGTTGTTGTTGTTGTTGTTGTTTTAGTTGTTCTTATTGTTATTACTGCTGCGGTTGTTGCTGTTGTTGTTGCTGCTGCTGTTGTTGTTGTTGTTGTTGTTGTTGTTGTTGTTGTTTTTATTTTTATTACTGCTGCGGTTGTTGCTGTTGTTGTTTGCTAGATAGTAATGATAATACTAATTGTAATCGTAATATTAATAAAAGTGTAGTTATGATAGTTATAGAGCGCTCAACACCAATGAAAGAACTCAGGCTCTGAGCGCGTTACAAACGCTATGGTGCCGTCAAAACTTCGTGACTCAACTTATAGTCAAATATCTCCTCAACTATCCAACATAAACTCTCCAGCTTTTGTACAGTGACTTGTATCAATTTGCCTTAACAGATCAGTATTTTTGTAAAGACTTGTTAGCTCTATTCTCGAAAATTCTTTAGTAAATACTAATAAAAATTCCTATCGTGCGATCAAAAATTCATTGCGCAACTTATCCTTAAATATCTTTATAACGGGTGAATCAATGTCACCCATAATTTGAAAAGCAGTTTGTCTCAATTTGTCTTAACTTAATAATATTTTTCTACTCCAATTGAGACTAGATTAAAATACTTTTCTTCATTAAGTTATATAAAATACTACAAACCTCCTTAACGCGGAAAATATTGTTCACCGTTCTTCCCGCTTCTCACACACATTTTGTATACCCATATGACTTACGTCACTGCTCACCAATGGCACTTTTTAGTGACAAAACTAGTTACAAAAAAATAATTTTAAAGCGAACACCAAGTGCACTAAAAGTTCTCAAAATATGAGTTCAATTAAGACAATCTCGGGATCAGAAAAAGAAATGACGTTAGGCTCTCGGACTCGCAACCGTAAGGTCGTGGGTTCGAATACCGTCAGGGGCCCGACGTTGTGTCCTTGGGAAAGGCACTTTACACGAATTTTTCTCACTTCACCTAGTTGGGAATGGGTACCCTGCTATAGACAGCGAAAGATACGGTTTTAGCGCCTATAAATGGCCGCTTGCACTGTATGCTTCCCGGGAAGCTGAGAATGTTTCGGAGTGTTCTATGGTCTGCTGGGGTAATAATATAGTGTAAAGCGCATAGAGCCTGCTGTTGAGCGGGGATATGCGCTATACAAATGCTATCTATTATTTATTATTATTTATTATTAAAAGCGATATCGTCTCAGCCGTAAACCTTTTAAGATCAGTAGGAACCACCCACTTACATTTTTATTAGTATTTATTCACGAATTTTCTACAATAGAGCTAACTGATCTTTACAAAAATAGTGATCTGTTAAGACAAATTTATACAAGTCACTGTGCAAAAGCTGGAGAGTTTACATTCGATAGATGAGGAGATATTTGACAACAAGTTGCGCCACAAGTTTTTGACCGCACTATAGTGGGTGGTTTCTCCTGATTTTACAAGATTTACAGCTCGGACATTAGCTTATTATGGCTTTTAAGAGCAAGTCCGTCATTTTTTTTAAAAATCGCCGATTATCTATATTGAACGCATATTTTGTTAACTTTTTGTTGCAAAGAAGTGTTCGGCCCTAATATTAATTTCTTGTAACTAGATTCTAGTTTTTTCCTACAAAAGTATCATTGGTGAGCTGTGATGTAACCCATTTTGCGTAATCAAAATGTGTGTGAGAAGCGGGAAGTGCTGTGAACAATTCCATTTTCCGCGTGAAGGAGAAGTGTAGTCTTTTATATAAATTTATGATATGAAGAAAAGTTTTTTTTTACTTTAGCCTCAACTGTTGTTGAAAAATAGGATTAAGTTAAGACAAACTGAAGCAAACTGCTGTGCAAAGTAATATGGATGACGTTGCTTCACCAGTTAAAGAAAAAATTGAGGATAAGTTGCACCACGAATTTTTTACAGCACTTTAGTCACGCATAAACGGCACATTGTGTTCTGACTGATAAAATATATATTATAATTATTCCTTGAATCTTAGAACAAAAATTTCTGGAGCTGCCTTTTGAATAAATGTGGAGTTTTGATCTCTCACCATAGGTCAAAGCAACTTGCACAAAGTCTTTCCGGATATCTGGACGTGACATTTGGGGGTTTTAACATTATTTTCTACAAGATTGATCATTGTTTATCACATGTTGAGGTTGCATAATATCGTTATTCCTCCGGTTTAAAAAAAATGTTTCATCTGTCTGCACTTTTTAATGTTGCATTTCCCAATCTTTCATTCCTTCTTGAAGAAAATATCCCAACCCTAACACTGCCAAACAATCC